CAACTTCCTTTTTGTAGCTTTGTCTCTATCACCCGCAACATCTTGTAGATACCAGTGTACTTGTGTTTTGAGACTAGAACAGATTCAAAAATTAAAAAGCACTTTTTCCATAATAATGAGATTCTTTGGTTCAGAACTGGAATTCTTTTCAAAATATAGTGCAGGGATTCAATGAATGAGAATCTGAACTCAACAAATTCCTGTTTTTAAAAAGAAAATGAGTAAAAGTGATTCATGTACTTCTCATAGCTTTATCGTCAAGAAATTGGAGAGGCCAGGAAGTTAGCTACACTGACCCTCTTCTGGCCTCCTTCCTCCCCCAGCAAGGTGCTGTTGCTGGATGGGTGAAAAAGTCCAAAAATCAGGGATGGAGAGACAAAGATTGTCTTCTGTGCTTCTTCCTGCCCTGATGACTTCAGAGCAACAAGCACTTGTAACAAGTTAGGGTGTTTCTACCTTATAAGGATGCAGCAAATAGGAACATGGCCTTAAACTTTACAAAACCCTGTTTTTACTAGTCACAGTGAGGGCTAGTAGGGTATATAAGCTTCTAAGGCTTTACCTGCCCTGCCTTCTGAAAATGTTACTCAGCCACCCTTTGGTTCTGAAACTTTACTAGGCATTGTCCATATTTTCCAATCTCCTTTGAAGCCACAGTGAGAGACCCTCTTTTATAAAGAGAGAAGGAAACTAATATCTTTAATTAGCTGTCTAGCATCATTGCTTAGATGCCTAGCATCATTGAGCTTGCATGGAATCTTCTGAAACTTGTAAGTCAACTTGAGACTTTTACTCCAAAAACTGGGTATAAATCAAGAAAATGAAAACAATAATTTGGCTCTGAACAAGTTAATTTGTTTCCCAAACACTGCACATAATAAGTTAGGGGTCATTAATTATGTTCCAAGTGTTGCAGAAGACAGCAACACATCATCTCAGTCGTACAGTTGCAGCACATCCATCATAGCAATATTTTTGTAGTCTCCAACAAATCTGGCCTGAAATGGCATTGTGTATCCCTGCCTGATGGTCTAAGTATGGATCCTTGGATCTCTGGCTGTTACTGTCCAGCTTGAGAAGAACAGTTGTTTTATGGTGTGGCTTTGCATTGCTGACAGGTAGCAGGGTTGGAAAAGATTCTTCTCAGAGATACCAGAGGGTTTATTAGTTGGTGCACTGGGATAGATGGGTTAGCAGCTCTCTCTGTTTTTTATGCTCCCCTGCCGTACCCATCTCATTAATTCACAAAGTGTTTGCAGCCATCCTTCATATCCTGTTGTTTCTAGTACATGGCTGTTTGGGGGGGGGGGGTGTTTCTGCCTCTTAGCAACACCTCTTAGCAACACATCAGAACCCCTCCCCTGGTCCTGCCAATTTCTGGGTGTGTGACAACACTTTGTGGCATGTTATGGACACACTTAGCAATTTTGTTTGGCAGGCTGGTGTCCAAGGAGAATTTTGACTGTTGGGGCATCCTCTCTTTCTCTTAACTACTATACTATGCAGCTTTTGCACAGGGAAGGAGAGTGCTTTTCCACTAGCACTAGTGGCATTTTAATATTATTTTCAAGCACATACATCATGTCCTCACCATTACTTCATCCTAAGAGAAAACTGTTAAAGGAAAAATCCATCTTAAAGCTGTTGGGATTCATTTGCAAATTAAATAAAGTCTTGTGACATTTTAAAGACTAACCAATTTGCTCTTTTATGGAGGCTATACATTTCATTGGATGCAGTGATGGATAGTGGCCATGAAAACCTGTAGCCTTAGGGCTTGATGAGACCCTTGAATTAATCTCAAAAGCCTCTACGCAAGATTAATTCAGACCACAATACATGATGGAGTGCGTCTCCTGGCGTGATCCTATACATTTCGTCTGTTTACCATGTAAGGGCATACTCCAAGGAAGGCTCAGAAGTTGGCAAAGGAGGACAAAGGAGAGGGCCTTCTTGCTTGGGGCCCTTCATTTTTGGCCCTTCAACTGTGGCTCTTCAATTATGGAACAATCTCCTCAGGTAGGCCTACCAGGCACCAGCATCATTATCTTTTCATGCCAGATTAAAGCCTTCCGACTGATCACTGAACAAGTGAGTCATGCCCATACCAATTGGACGTTGCATCTCTTTGTGTTTTGCATTGTTATCTTCTGCATTGTATGGCTTCATCTTGTAAAGAAAACTAGAAACTCTCCAAAGCCCCCTGTCACTTGCTTTCTCCTTTCACGGCATTTATAATCAGCAACTGCAGTTACTAGTTCATGCAACTGGTGAAGGGACACAGGAAATGTATCTCTCAATGAATGTGTTAGCTTGTTGCAGTGAAAAGAGCAAAAGGTTATGTTAACCTCATTAACGTGAGGACCTCCGGCTCTGTTCTCCAAGGAGGACAGAGTCCAACCACTGCCTGCAGCTGTTATATTTGGTTCCCTGTTCTGTTCTCCCATATGTAGTGGGAAATATTGAATAATTTTTCTTTGTTTCCTACACAGAACTTGTAAGGGTTAGTTAATGCACTCTAAGGATTTTGTGAGTAGGATTATTTGCCATTTTTTCTACCATAACTTACAAACAATCATATTTGTTTATGTCAAATATTTTTTATCTCATCTTTGACAATAACAGAGAATCACAATAAATGGATTGATGGCAAAAGCAGTGGTGATTTAGGAAGGCTCTGGGAGGACAATGATGGAAACCATCCACTGCTAGGGATATTACTGCTGCTAAGGCTGATCTCTGAAGTTCCTTCTGTCTTCATGGAAGAGAATAGTCCTTCATCCCACAAGGGCACTACCTGGCAACCAGGCCAGGCAGCACCAGATGTTTTAGCCCCTAGGAGTGCTGCATGTTCTCACAGGAAGAGTTGAGAACATGCCCTCTTCCTCCTGGCTTTTCTTGCTGGTAAAGGGGCTTGGCAAAGGCTTGTTGAGCTGATGATGAAACGTGGTTACTCACCAGGCCTTTAAATTACATTACCGATGGTTTGGCTGTTCCAACTGCTGCTCTTTGAAGGTACCATGTTGAACATAAGTTATGACCATATATTATATGGTTGGGGAAAACAAGATGGAACCCTCTGGATGCTTTGGACTACAACTCCTGTAATCCCTACCATGGGGCATGCTAGCGAAGGTTGATGGGTATGGTAATTCAAAGTATCTGAAGGGCAGCAGGTTGCCTGGCTGTCATGGAAAGCCCTCTCTTACTGGTGTCAGGTACTTTTTCTTCGTACCGAGGCTGGCGACGGCAAAGGTGAAGCTTGTAGTAAGCATTTCTTCCTGAAAGCCTCAGATGGGATACCCCTAAGGGAAATATTGAGAATGCACATCAGCTGCCCTCCTTTCCATTCTGTACAGCTGTCTCTCTTGCATGTTTGTACAAGTGCTTCTTTCTGTGTACTGTACTTTATATTTGCTATTGCTTCCCATCACCACCTCCTCCTTTTCTTCTCCACCTCAGCTATTGACTTACTAGGCCTGCTTGCTGCTGGCAGTGTTCTGCATCCACAGGTATTTTCTTCTGCAATTGAGATTTTGAAAGCAGACTTACAGTCTTGTGCTGTGTGCTCTGTTCCTTCGCTGCTTATACATGCCTTGACTATGATGTCACTCAGGGCATTCATGGCTCTGGCAGATCGCCACACCCCAGGAGCAGCAAGGATTCCTTGCAGTGCACAAAATATCCGCTTATGCCTTTGCACTGGTAAACAGCAGATTAGTCTTGGAAGCTAATTGCTCTGTGGTGGCACATGGATTCTGTAATGTTGCCCGATCATAATGACAGTGAAACCCCACTGCTGCACATATATACAGTGTGACTGCAGAATCCTTTATGCTGTCTGCCTGACATTTCTTGCAACAGTCCTAATTATGTAGCTGCTAATGACATCTGCTAACATTCCCTTGGTTGTATTGGTGGTCCCCTTGTTGCAGTTCTCAGACTCTTTCTCCACAGAAATGTTGTGTGAGTTCCTATGGTGTTTGATGGTACATCACACTTTTCTGAGATTATCACACCAGTAATTTAGAGCAAATGGAAAGCTGTTAAAAATAGCTCAGAAGTCTCAGAAGTTTTTAAAGTCTGTTCTATTGACAGAATAATAAGATTTTTAAAAAATTGTCATAACTTCCAGTCATGGCAAACAAGCTCGAATGGCATTATCTGGAAGCAGCTCAGGAAGCATAATATAAGCATGCTATTATTTCAGTAATCTGTAAATCTAAAATCTAAATCTATCTGTGAATATATTCTGTTGTTCTGATGGTGAAGCCCCTTACAAGACTGCCAGGCATAGCCAAATATTCCAGGGCAGGCAAGACTGCCTTGGGTTGTTGTTGGCAGTCCTGCTGTGTTAGTAAAGGAGGGTTGGATGAGAAAGCACCAAGAACAGGGAACTCAAGAGGGCTGAACCTAGGAAGGCAAGGAGAATTGAGAGGAGTGGAAGGTTCTTGGTGAATTGAAACAATAAGCCCAAACAGTAGCTACTAGTCTATAGTAAAGTCACTGGTATGGTGGTGAATGATTCTGTTGATTGGTGCATTTTAGTTTAACATAAACTTATGGCTGAAAAGTAATCAGGACAAGTAGGCATATATTGCAACTGATGGTACTAGTATGCATTTCTGACTTAAGAAGACTTTTTTTTCTTTGCAGTCTTTAAAAAATCTATATGTTCTTGTGGTTAAAATATGTTGATTCATCTAGTTTGGCATATGTTGGGCCCAATTCTATACATGTGTAGACAGAAGAAGAAAGTCGCATAACTCCCAACATTGGGGGATGCTGGGAGTTGTGGTCTGACACATCCTGTAGGGACCAAGTTGGAGATAGCAGTTGTATTTTGTATCTGGGATGGGGAAGGATGATCAAGTAATCTGTTCAGAATTCAGCTCAGAGTGAAGTCAATTGTTTCCATTTTCCTCTGGAAATTGAATGTTGTTGCAAACTCTTGATGCTTTGTTTAGCATTTGCATGTGTTTTCCCCCCACTTTTAGACAATGGCATTGCACCCACGCAGAGTTCGATTGAAACCCTGGCTAGTGGCTCAGGTGGACAGTGGAATGTACCCAGGCCTCAACTGGCTCAACAGAGAGGCAAAGCGATTTCAGATCCCTTGGAAGCATGCGACTCGGCATAGCCCTCAACACGAAGAGGAGAACACAATTTTTAAGGTGATCCAATAATGAAATGTCATACAAGAAAGGCACTGTGATATATTAGATCAACAGCTTAAGTTAGCATGCAGGTTTAAGGATCCAAGACTTCCAAGATGGTCAGCACAACCAGGCAAAAGAGAAAGTCTGGGACTCAGACAAAAAGGTCCCAAAGCATTGCAGAAGTAGGTCAAAGTCCACTCCAGAAGTATTCACACGAAGACCCCATTAAAACAAAAAACAAAAACAGTTTGGAGTCAAGGCAAGGGAAGCTGTGGTCAGCATTGTTTCCAATAACTTTCTCAGTCTTACACTGATGTTTTTATGCAGAGATTGTCACAAGCTTGACTAAACCTCAGCTCTGAACTGTTAGTGATGGCAGCTGAAAAGGGCCTCTGGGTGGGCAAGCCTGTGTGAAGCCTTTTCTCACAAGGAAGCCTCTGGCGCAGTCTAGCACCATTGAGTTCTTGTCTTTTCAGCTGGCATCTTTCCTGAAGGCTCGGTGGTTTCTCTGCCTTCACCTTTGCGGCCAAGTACTTGCTCTTCTTGCCTTCATGGTATTCTGGGTGTACTGGCAGATCCTGGGCATTGCTGGTGGCAGATGTTGGTTCTCAATCCTCCAGCTCTTCCTCTGAGGAAGTTTTCCTGTGGGAGCAAGGCATAAATCATACCTTTGCTGCTTGGAGCCCCCCTTCTTCTTCACAAAAACTGTGTGAAGAAAATTAGGCTAAGAGTCTGTGACTTGCCTAAGGTCACCCTAGGAGCTTCATGACCATGTGGCGATCTGAGCCTGCATCTCCCTAGTCATAAACACCCCAATTGTGACACCACACTGCTGTTCTTGAGTTTCATGGACTAACACACTTACCAGTGATTTGTGGGAAATTCCAATTCAGTCATACGGTAACACTTGCTATAAACCTGGACTTGATGGCATGCCCTAGTGTTTGGTGATTTAGGATGCAATCCTGTGCATGCTTAGGCAGAGAAAAGGCCATGCATGCTGCACGGTTATCCTTCTAGTGCCATAGGATCACAGGTTGGTCACAGATTTTAAACCCACTTTAGTTTTGGAGCTGAGAGGCAGAGCTGTACCATTCCATATGGCTGAGACCAGATCTTCTGGTGATTTGTACTGGGAAAGGCTGTACCATTCACCATACAGCACTTCCCAAAGCGAAGCACTAATGAACTTTCTTTCTGTCAGACTTGGTACCCCATTAAACAGCAATATCCCTCAGTTATTTTCAGACAAATGTCCCATTAAGATCCTCACCCCATTCATACTTTTTCAGTGTAGGAGGCTTTCTATAGTCTTATGATTACTGTCTATCACAACAGATGACTTGCTAACCTTGCCCAAGGAGTGGAACACAGCACTGTCTTTTGTCTTAATTGAAATAATGTCTATGTAAAGGAAGGCAGTTGTATGTATTTACCATTGTTCGTGTAAATAGGACCTAGCCCTGGGCCCAGATTCTGGAGAGAAAGACATGTGCATGGATTACAAATGTGTAATGTATGAAGAATGAGACAGGAACAACTGCGGGGCAAAGCAATATGCAAGGCCCCATAAATTCAAAATAGTATTTCAAGGAACTGGCAGATACAGCTTCCTCCTGATCAGATGCTCCTACCTTATCTCTGCTCTGTGTACCATTTAGCTGGTCACTGAATGTTTAATTTGAAGCCCGTTGTAGATTTCCTCCTGAGAAACTTCAAATTCAGGGTTTTAATTATCTACAACTTAACTCATCACCTTTTCTCTTGCTTCAGACTAAGTATATGCCTTCTTAGTCCTTCAATTTAAGCTATAATCTAATGAAGACTTCCTTGGGAGTTAACCTGGTTGAATGGAACTCTCTTCTGACTAATCCATGTAGAATTACTCTTTAGATACTCATCTGGCTTGCTGTATATAATTAGCTTTGTTAGAATGAACTGAATCTGAGTACTGACTCTATTTACATGGATATGGGAAATGTTTGATACAGAGGTTTTAAACATTATTTTTAAATTGATACATATAAGCAAAATCTGGGAGTAATGACATTGGCAACAACCGCCATTTTATTCTATGTTTTTACAAGCTTGTTGTATTAATGGTGATCTCAGATTTTGTTAGAACTTTGCTAGATGAACATGGAAACATAATCCTGAATAACAATAATGATGATAATGTTGATGATGATAAAAGCCTTTGGGTGGCTTTCTTCGGACACAATCAAGTGATACATGTAAGAATGGTCAATCTATCTTACTGATACAGAATAAAATTGTTTTAGTGAATTCGTAAATGAGTCATTCTGCTTTAGACTGCACTGAGGATTAGTGGCAGCAATAACTGGCTAATCCCAACAAAACTATTTATTGCCTAGATGCATTTGATAGTTGGGAATTGGTTCGGTAACATGATTCAACAGAAGCTGGCATAATGACAGCATTTAACTGAGCACAATGTACTTTGCTCCCAGGCTTGGGCTGTGGAAACAGGAAAGTACCAGGAAGGAGTTGATGACCCTGACCCTGCAAAATGGAAGGCTCAGCTCCGGTGTGCCCTCAACAAAAGCCGGGAATTCAAACTGATGTATGATGGCACCAAAGAGGTGCCAATGAATCCCATTAAAATTTATGAAGTGTGTGACATCCCACAGTCCCAGGGAGCAATCATTAATCCAGGTGAGAGTCAAGACTCTGTTGTTTAAGGAAGCAAGCATGCAACTTGTCCTTCAGCATTCAGCCATCCTTTCCTATCCTGGTGGGTTACTAATTTTTAATTGAGTAAGCATATTGTAGTATCCATATTGTAGTATCCAACTGACAGAAGGGGAAAGTTTAGGTCACCTTCTGCTGTCCAGTCAAGAATGCATTCTGCATGTTCACAAACTCACTGCATTTGTTACAGTCTGAATTGTTTGGCACTGTGTGTGTTTAAGTGTAAAAAGATTGCAGGGAAAGGCTTTGGAGGCCAGGTGATCTAATAAAGATCCAAAGAAGTGAGAGAAAGGACAGGATTTCTGGGCTCAGGGCATTCCAGTTCTTTACATGCCTACCAGCCATGTTTATGCCCTTCCTTTCCCTTCTTCTTTTCTAGCACATCAGTCCAATACAGGGATACTAAATGGAATATGGATGTTATTAATTAATGAGAATGCAGTCTTGAAAGGCCTTTATTCCTGGGATGAATGTTTCACTGGATGACATTCACTGGGGATTTCTCTTGTATAATGGCCATTGAAAGAACACATCCTTCTGAACACATCTGCGTGTGCCTTGGGGTGGATACAGAAGGCTAGCAGGTTCTTGGACCAAGGTAATTTTTCTCTGGTCCTTTGTCTGCTTTCCTACAAACCAACTGAAGCATTTAGTGAGGGAGGCTGTGTCATAGGTTGCATTGGCATTGCACAAGCAGTGGGAGATGGCTAGATGATTCTACACACCAGCTTAATGATGCAAAAAGACATTTTCCTCTGTCAGGGTTGAACTATTTCCAGAGCTGTGAAGGAGACCAAAAAGCACTTGCAATAAAGACACTCAAGGGAGTGGCTGCCTAGAAAGTGTTACTGGAAAGGATTAGTCTTTCCAGTAGCAGGAAAGACTACAAAGCAGCTTCCCTGTGCTTTGCAGAAATGGCAATTCTCCCTCCCTCTCTCTAAATACCATACCATACCATATCACTTGCTAAGTCTCCAACTTGTGCTTTTCCTAAAGGCTCTACTGGTTCAGCTCCATGGGATGAGAAGGATAATGATGATGATGAAGATGAAGATGAATTAAACCAGTCTCAGCCTGTACCTATACAGGATACTTTATCATTTCTTAATATCAATGGTTAGTAGCTATGTCATGGCACAGACTGTGCACTGAACTCAGCCCTACATTCTCAATAGTGAATATGATGTTAAGCAGCATTTTGGTTGATGCTTTTAGGCAATTGCTGCTTCTCTGCCTGGATGCATCTAACCTAGCAGCTTCTTGACAAATTTGCTGCAGAAGATGAGCAAAAGGAGACACCACATGTGAAGCACAAGCCTTTGTGTGGTTAGCCCAGGCAGACTTTATTCCTGTTCTTCCTTTATTGATTATATCTTGTATTTTATTGTTTAATGGTGAACATGTGAAATTCCCAGCATTTATTGAGATACCTATTGTTGATTTCCTTTAGCAGATCGAAACTTGTCAGTGTCACACAAAATCATGGGATTCAACCTTCTTTATTCTGCATGTTCATGTTTGGTGCAGTCTGGCCTCTGTCCCCTGCTTGACTAGGATTGCATGGCATGGCAACTCACTGTGGTCAACCAGCTACAGAAGGTTGCTATGTCACGCAGACCTTGGCTACTTCCTAAAAGGTTATGCTTTTGGACAGCAAGCCACCCTGGCATCAAACCTTGATGTAAGGGTTGTTGGACCCATGCTGGGTTGTCTTATCATCCAGACTGAGGAGACTGTTGCTATTGTGAGTCCAGGGAAGCAGTGAGTGAGCCATTCAGAAAAAGTGGCAACCGCCCCCCCTCTTGCCTATCTTACTGAGTGAGACCATGCTCCTACCAGTGACAGCTGCTCCCAGATGCGCTCTTCACCCTTCCCTGATTGGGAACCTTTTTTGATTGCTGCCCCCTTTCCCCCCTCCCTTTTGGATCTTTTTTCAATGTCTCCAAACTGCCCAAACAGCTACAGCATTTCCAAAGTTCCCAAGAACTGCATTGAAGCAGCTGTCACTGATTTGCTACTTTCATTATTATTATTCATAGGCACCAAAATATGTGCAAATATTTTCATTTTTTAGTTTATACTGAAAGCATACAAGGCCAACTACCCAAAAAGCACAGTTTTGCCTGTTTAGTGTCCTGGTAGTGTCTCCTGGTAAACAGCTCCTTTCAAGGACAGGAAGCAACATTCAAGAACATGGATAGATTTCATATGCAACCAAGAAATTCGTCAGAACTACCCTGTTTAGCCCTGTCAAAAACCTTACTTAAAACCCCTTTCTTTTGACAATTGTCAAAAGTTCATGTTTGTGAATAAGAAGAGGTTGTATGCCTTAGCTTTCCAAAAAAAATCTAGAGGCTTGGAGAAGTATGGAAAATCTGGAGGACACTAAGAACTGTCTCCTTGAAACTGGATGATCATACTGCCAGGGGGAAGATATTCTTGTGAACCCCCCAAGATCCCCCTGTGACTTTGCTTTTCTCTTGATAGTTTGCTGCTCTGAAGGGAAAAGCAAAACAAAGAGTTAACCTGTTTGCAGCCTTGTTTTTTCAATACCTATGGAATATTGTCTCCTGCACTTTCACAGAAGACACTTAACAAGACATTAACCAGGCAAGACTTAGCCTTTTGGCCAATCAGAGGCACACAGTTGCATTCATGTACGTTTCTGGTGCCTAAAAATTAATTTTCAAAATTAGTGACTGACCAGTGGTTGGCACTTCAATGTGCTGCTTGAGCTGCCCTGGAAAACATGAAGAAAAGATTCCAAAGGTGTGGATCGGGTGAAAAGTGGTGGTGGTGATAACCAAAAAGGGATTGCAATCAGAGCAGGGAGAGCAGCCATTGTGGGTTCAGCCATCAAGCCTCCTGGGATGACTGTTCAACCATTGTGAGTCTGATCATCTGTTAACTGCACTGTGGGTTGTCCCACAAACAACCCACACTGTGTAGCTAGTTTGGAATGTAGGTTGCTGGGTCATGCAGACCTACCAGTTGTGTCTGGCTAGTCAAAAACAAGCTAGATGAAAAAGAAAGGCTCTTCCTTGCTATTCTGAACTGGGTCCTGATGCCCCAGGGTCAGCAAAGGAGTAAACATAGCCTGCGTGTGCCCCATTGGCTCCACTGGTGTCATTCCAAGTAGGGTAAAGGAGACCGCTTGCCCCCACCTCACAAAACCCTGTGATAGCCACTGTGCTGGTGACCTCATAAAAAGTAAATTCCCATGGCAAGAACAGACACACCTTTCTGGCAAGCCAAGGTATTGCCTGTAAGGACGGAACAGTTTTAAAAGGCTGTTGCTCGGAGTTCCCTGGAACAAAAAACAGGTTTAACAGGTTTTAACTGTAACATTGTCTCAGCAGATACTTCTGCATTAATTTCCCATGCATCAGAACCTGCTTAAAGTTATATTTTAATGATGTTGTATTTTTAAAGCATGTTGCTAATCCACCAATGGCCTTTATTGTAGTTTAAAATACATTTTTCATTCAATCTATCATTTTAACAAGTACTTTTCTCCACAATGAATTCCAAGTAATGTCTGATATTCTTTACCTATTGTTAGCATTTACTGAGTTGGCTGAGTCTGCTTATTTTTTCTGAAGTGCTGTTTTCCTTAAATAATTTTGCAAAGGACAATAGACTGGTTTTCCTTTTCCCGTGTTGTCTTTGAAAGACATATTTTAGGACAGGTTGGACATATTGGCTGTGCTGGAGGAATCACAGTGCCTGTGATGCAGGAACTGAGGGCATTGAAGATCACGCTATCTACATGAATGTAACCTCCCTGTCCCTCGGAATGCCCCCTTACGCACACTGAGATCCTCCAACACCAGTCATGCCACATGTCGTGACCTCAGAATCCAGGCACTGCACTTCTTTCTGCAGCTTTAAAAGTGGGGCAGGGAAGGAGGTATGATTCCAGAGCTGCCTCTTCTCAGTGTCCACAGCCTCCAAGGGATAACTTCAATTCTCCCAGGGTATATGATTGGCCTGTAAACTTTCCTCCACTGTGGAAAGTATCAATAACTTTTTAAAAATAACCTTTAAAATTATTGAAGTTTTGGTAAACACAGATTTCCTTGGTTTAGATTCTCCAATGGCACCCACGAGTGTGGAGACCCACAGCCCAGAAGCCGGGTGGCAGAAGAACGAGCCTGAGGATATAGAGATGCCAATGCCTCCTGCACTCCCAGTTCTGCAGCATGACATGTTCAGCTCTCCTGAACTCTGGATTAGCTCTCTTCCAAGTATGTCCTTTTGGTGCATAAACAGATGGCATGCTTTGGGGTGGGTTTGCACAGCAAAGTCTAATGTAGCTTATTCACTCTGTGTAGTACTACACATTCTTTCATCCTGAACATACATTAACCCCGCCCCGCCCCGCCCCGTCCCGCCCCATTGCCTTGCAGTTTATTTCTGTTTAGATTCATGGTCCAGGAAACAGTCTGTGTCTGGAAGTGTGATATCATCATGAATGTCACCCTATAAATAAATAATCCAGTTGGAAACTGCAGTTGACCTTGGGATGGTGACAGTTGGGCAGTCAAATACAGCTAATGTACTAGTGATCAAACATATCAGTGAATAAATTTGTTTTTACTGATAAGTTCTGCATTCATGTATAGAGGAAGTCTCTCCATGATAGTTGACTAGAGGAATTGGCCACTAGTTTCCTTGGTAATTGTCTTCCCCACTTGAAAAAAAATGTTTTGCCCTATTTTGATCAGGATGAAAAGAAATCTGCTTAAATCAACACAAGGTTTTTTCCAGTTATGGATCCTGTCTCATATTCTAACAATAAATCATTCTGATCAAGTGACAGACCTCGAAATCAAGTTCGAGTATCGAGGCAAAGAATTTGGGCAGACAATGACCGTGAGCAACCCCCAGGGCTGCAGACTTTTCTATGGAGAACTGGGTCCTATGCCAGATCAAGAAGAACTCTTTGGTCCTATTAATTTGGAGCAAGTCAAGTTTCCAGGGCCAGAAATTATCACCAATGAAAAGCAAAAGCTGTTCACAAGCCGGCTGCTGGATGTCATGGACAGAGGGCTGATCCTAGAAGTCAGTGGGCATGCTATTTATGCAATCAGGCTTTGCCAGTGCAAAGTGTATTGGTCTGGACCGTGCGCACCTTCTTCTACCACACCAAACTTGATTGAAAGACAAAAGAAAGTCAAGCTCTTTTGTTTAGAAACATTCCTGAGTGGTGAGTAACTGTAGTGCTCTTGCATCACAATTTCTGAGTAGTTAATGCTGTTGGCTTTTTAACCACTGTAATATTTGTACACTTTGCTTCAGGCCTTTGGTCATTCGGGATTATGTCCCATACTGTTACTTTAACTAGGGCTCTTTAGCAGTATAGTACAGATAACAGTTTAAACAAAACCTGCCATTTTCTGCATATAGGCATTGCTGAATGGATGCTAATAAAACCCACTGTTGTGCTCCATTTTGGCAGTTTTTCCTCTACCACTTCTCTTTGTCCAAACGGGTTCCAGTTGTCATGGCTGGAATTGTAGTTCTTGCACTGTGCATGTATTGTGAAAGCTGGCAAGTGAAATGGTTCCTTTTATGTCTTGTTAAAGAACTTGTTTGGGATGGAAGGAAAATGGTACTGATCACTAAAAGCCAGTGTGCTTTAGAGGCTAAGAGTGCTGGACTGCAACTCAGGAGATCTGGGTTCTAGACCCCCTTTGGCCATGAAGCCCACTGGCTGATTTTAGGCCAGTCACTGACTCTCAGGCTAACCTATCACACAGGTTTGTTTTTGTGAAGACAAAGTGGAGTGGAGAAGAACATTGTAAGCTACTTTGACTTCCTTCCAAAAGGAAGAAAAGCAGGGTATATATACAATGAAATACTAATGTAGGCAAAAAAGTATGGGGCGAAGGGGTTAGAAGTGGGTATTATTCTATAATAGACAAACAGTGGATTTCAAACTAGAAGGGGCAGTTAGTAGACTATTACAGGATATCAAGATGTAGGTGTGTCTAATTGTATATTGCTTCCCCTTCCTTTTAGAACTGATTGCCCATCAGAAAGGACAGATTGGAAAACAGCCCCCATATGAGATCTACTTCTGTTTTGGGGAAGAATGGCCAGATGGGAAGTCTAGAGAGAGAAAACTGATTGTTGTTCAGGTAAGAGAACAATGACTTGCAGAGAGATGTTAACAGTGCATACAGTGAAAATGGTTGTTGAATCCCACTGAACGAAGTGCATAGTGTTTGTCTGAAATAACCCAAATTTTGTACTGCAAGCAGTTGAATGCAGCAATCCCTATGAATAAGCCAGTTTGCATACATTCTTTTCCTACCATCTGTGGGAAAGTGCAAAGTACTGTGTATGGCAGTGGAATTCAAGGCAGTCAAATCCCACTGTTTACAAGCAGTAGACCCATTTTTTAGCTTAGTCCCAGATAGTTGAAAATTGAAATTTTCAGAATGCTACTTCCAGTTTTCCATGGCAACATGGGCACATTAATGCACTACAATATTTTATAGACTGCTGTTCAACAGAAAATGGCCTGAGTTAATCAATATCACTTGAAAATACAAATAAAATAGTTCCAAGGAAAGTCTACCGCCCTCCACCTTCAAATCAACTAAAGTAATAAAAATGGAAAACTACATATATCCATGATAATCTCCAGTAATTCCCTGGGTAAAAGTGCTTTTGCTGTCTGCAAAAGGTGATTATGGAAGAACAGACAGACTTTCTGAGAGGAAGCATCTCATAGCTGTGAAGAAATGGCTGAGAAAGGCCCTTGTACCTGGTAGAGGAGAATCTTGCTAGTAAAGCATATGCCCTGAAGTATATATAAGTATGCAATATGGGAGAAGGTATTCCTTGAGTTAACTGAGACCAGACTGTATTATAACTCTTTAAAGTCAAAACCAGTACCTTGAACTCAGTACTGGAACTAACTGGTAAGCAGTGAAAATGGGTTAGTACATTACTTGCTGATCTAAGCCTGTTGGCAAATGGGAACTGACAGTCTGTAGCAGCTACAGTTCCTAGACAGTTTGCAAGGTTAGCCCCATGAATGCACATTACGCTTATCTAATTTGGAAGTCACCCAAGCATGAATGCAGGTAGCAGGTTCAGCTGGTGAACTAAGGGTAGAGGAGGGTAGAAGATACTTCTGGTCAGAGATGCTTCCTGAGAAACCAGGAATATTAATTCCAGGAATAATAAAAGTTACAAATTGACCACTCAGAATGGGTGTAATACCATCAATGCTAGGCATTTCCTTGGATTACTGGTCCACTGAATTCCCTATCTTTACTAGTCTTATTGATTATCTGTCTTAACTAGAATGTATTCACCCTTACCCAGTTAATCATTGATCTCAAACACTTATTTAAGGAAGAAATCACCTCATTCCAAACTGAAGAAAGAACAAATAAGTCCAACTGTCATCATATTATTTCTAGACCTCCTTTGATATTTCCTGATGATGTCCAGCATCAATTGCATATAGATGTTAAAGACATGGGCCTGCCAATCATAGGGCAGATTCTGTGATGAGAAACAATCCCACTGTACCATCTTCTAGACCAGGGGTACACTACATTTTGGACACATGGGCAATTTAAGGCAGTTTCCAGAGCACCCTCACAAAACGGGCATACTATATTCATTTGCCATTTTCATTTCCTAAGAATATCTCCATGTCCCACAAGTGGCTCAGAGCATTCATGCGAAAGGAAGATGGAAGTAGCTAGAGGTGCTTTTTAGTGAGCTTTGTAGCAATTGCGGTTGTTGGTTATTAAAAAGAAGGAAAAAATTGAAAAAAAAAAAAAACGTAAGAGGCCAGATACCTCAGTGGACATCAAGCAAGGTGCCTGAGGATGCAGTGCTGCTTCTGGGTGTCATGTTGTCTGGAAGACCAGGTGTAGAATTTGGGTGCCATGTTCTAAAACCTGCCCCCCCTGGGGGGGGAGGGCAAGATCATTGTAAAATGATGCTCCTGGTTAAAGCAAGCCAGCAAAATACTATGGCCAAAGGCTATAGATCAGGCTTTTTACTGGTATAAATGAGGTAGGACATCTTGGAACTCTTTGGAAATGTGCATGTTTCTGCTTGGAATGATCTAAAAGGAGTGTGAAAGTTTATTGTCCTTTTAAGCACAGAAATGAGTACAGTGGAAGCCTCTTCTTGTTGCAGCCACTGGGCAGAAACTATTCACCTTGGCTATATTAGCATCCTATCTGTGCATCAAGCACAGCGCAGACCACGCAGGCTGCATACTCCTTCAGTGTTGGATTTGCATTAATAATGATGTGGTTCTAGAATGCCTGCTGACTTAGGACAGGGTCATAGCACCTACTCAGATCATTCAAAATGTAGTTGCAAGAAAGAGAAATTCTCCTATTTCAGCTTTCGGATGATTCTAGCTGTTCTAATGGGCTACTAATAATCCCATCTAGACTAATGCTCAGGAATTGTGTTTCAAACAGGTAATTCCAGTTGTCGCTCGGATGATCTATGAGATGTTCTCTGGTGACTTCACCCGCTCTTTTGACAGTGGCAGCGTGCGGCTTCAGATCTCTACCCCTGATATCAAGGACAACATTGTTGCGCAGCTGAAACAACTCTACCGACTACTGCAGAATCATCAAGAAGGCTGGCCAATGCAGCCACCAAACATGCCTATGACCACACCTCTGACTGCACAGTGATGGCCAGATCTTTCTGAAAGGATGAATTCCCTGTCTTAGCAAATTTTGTTTGTAATGTCATTTCAGAGTAAGAGTGTTTTTATTTCAATTGATTTTAAACATCTCTTATGTGAAACTATAAATGACAAAGAATTTTTAATCTCTCTTAATTTTCGCAAATTTCAATTTATCTAGATTAAGTGTGTACACCAAAACACATTTTGAATTTTACTCTTTTCATTTAATGTAAATATATGAATGTTTAAATTGTATCTTGCTCACATATATAACATTATTCTCTTTCTTTGTGATCAGAGTTCAAGGCTTCTTTTTCAAAAAGAGCATCAAAGGGCCTTAACAGGGATGTATATTGTCTATTTATGCAATAGACAGTTTATTGTTAGCCACTGGTTAGATAATTTAGTAAAAAATATATAAACTGCATGCTTCTTTATTTTTATTTTTTAAAAAACTAAAAACTGCTGAAAAAAGTATAAAATATCTTAACAAAACATTTTTAGAAGTCATAATTTTGTTAGTATTTTATCTCTTCAATAAAGTTGCTTTGCAGAATAGGATTCTGACAACTAGTTGTCTTGGTTTTGCTGTAGGAAACTACTCTCTTTGCTGGCATCCTTAAGATTAAAAAGCATAGTTTTATTGAACTGACTTTGCAATTAGTCAAGCCAGATCTCATAAGAATTATGCATTAAGACAATGCCAGGTTGTTAAGTAGAAATCTAATTAGCAGTTCTTTTATTCTCCCATGTTAAGTAGTACAACTCAAGCACATCATGGTTATACAACTTGGAAAAAATGGTCCATGGTTTTTAGCCTGATTGTTTGAAAAGAGACAGAGAACCTAAGTGATGTTTTCTACTGACTAATCTGTTATTGAGTTGTGTTCAAGTCAGACTGAAACATTAGCTACAAACATTACAGTGTTGTTAATCTGTTGGACTGCCAGAAGATACGAAAGTGGCAATAAGGCTGAAGTGGTAACCCAGGAAGTTTGAATATTGCTTGAGCAGTAAGCCAGCCCATTGTAAATATGAGTTTTCTGGACTGATTAAGGCTATCTTCTCACATGTTTTGCTTCTTATGCCAGGAAACACATTAAAATGTTCTGTTAAACTTTAACTATGTGTTTGTATCTTTATGCTTTTCTAGGGGTGAATATGCATGATTGAAGCCTATTTAACTTATATATCAAGTTAACTGGCATTGGACCCACCTCTAAAATTTAACCTAGAACACCTTTATTTGAAAGCAGAGGAAATAATTTGTGCACTGGAGGTGTTTTCAAAGTTCACATTTTATATTAAAATAAATGGAGTACTTAGCTTAGGACTGGGTTCAAATCCTTAGCCTCACTCAGTGTCCTTGGGCAAGGCAGTGGTTCAGTTTACACATACATGTTAACTTGACTGCAACCTCAAATGGATTTTATGTATGATTGATTCATCACAAGTTAATGACCACCAACAGAGAGCTTCCAAAAGACCCAGTGCTAACAGAGTACTTTTAAATGAAGATAAGGTTGTGTATTGGCGGAAAGTAATTGAGGGAGAAAGATCAACTGACCTATGCTCATGTGTTTACCAACCAATCCATCTGCTTTTACTAAAAAGCACAGCTTTCTACAGTGTGGCTGTGAAGCCAAAACTACCAGGTACTGTATACTGGCCTGAAAGTGGACACAACTGCACCTCATGTGTTTCTCCCTGGTGTTACATTATCACTTAAATGTTTCTCCTTTTAATCAACTTTTTTTTTTGGAGAAAATTGTAATGCTGTAACAGAATGCTAATGGGAAGCTACAGAATTGTCTTTATCACAGTAAATTATCATTGCATTTTTGGACATAAAGTAGTAGTTTCTGGGCTCTTTACACACCTTCAGGCCCTCTGCAACCATTTACCTGGCTTTATTTCTAACATATCTGGAAAGATTCCCAAAACACTCTTCCATCTAGAAAGCACTTAAGTCCCGCAAGACTGCTTTATCTGCCATGCCACAGGATTATTTTCCTTATTAAAATGCAGGAAAAAACCCTAAATTAAGTAGGGGAGAGGCAGAGAGGGGAGCCACGGCTATTCCATAGCCCTGAGCACTGCAAATGTGTGCAGATAATAGTTGCAGCTCCCTCACTGCACAAAATGCAGTATTTATTTATTTAAAACACTGTGAGGGGCAGCTCACAAAGAATACATAAAAACATACATAAATAATAATATAACAATTAAAAAAAATTAAAAAAAAGTAGACTGAAACAACTCCAGCTAAGATGCATCCTCAATGGTCGTGCGAGTGGGAAAGGCAGTTTAGAATCATGCGAAGCACACATTCGCCCTTTCCCCTCATTCCATCCTTCAAAACTGCTTCTAACTTGGAAGGAGTATCTTTAAGCCAGCTCCAGCTCCAGCTCCCGTGCAGTCTCCGCGGCCAGCAGGCAGGGCTTATCGATTAAGGCGGCTTCCGTGGGAAACGCCGCTCCCGCTCTGAGAGCAACACAACCCGCCCTCCCCACGCAAACCTGGCAAGCCAAACCTACAAGCTCGCTGAGAATCGCCTGCAGCTAAACCCCACCGATTTCACCCAATTCCGCCCAGCTCGGTGGAGACAGGACGGCTGCCTCGGGCTAATTTTTAGCTGTCTTCCTCTGAGAATAGCTTGGTGGGCAAAGCTCTCGAGCGCAAGCTGGCGGAACAGCGCCTCCTGCTTCCCACTGACTGGGGCACCACCCCGGGGATGGGCCGAGGGGCTGGGCAGGATCTCTCCTCCCTCAACGGCCGAGGGACGGGCAGGATCTCTCCTCCCTCCGCCCGCCCCCAGCTTGCTCAGGCTTGGGAAGCGGAAATCTAGCCGACCCGTGCGAGTCCGAGAGCGCGCATGCTTGCTTTGGAAGAGGCAGCCGGAAGGTTAGCACGGCGGGTAGGCGGGGAGTGGGGAGGCTGCTGGCACGCTGTGGAGCGGCCCTTTCGTAGATCGCAGCGGTCCGGCTGGCTGGCGTCGCCTCGCGATCCGCCAGGTGTGTGTGGGTCGGCACTGCTGCCCCGGCGTTGTTTGGGGCCCGGCGCGGGGCACAGCATTTTCTGCAGAGTGACACACTGAATGTACAAGAAGGCAACGAGGAGTGCGTGGCGATTGGGCCACAGCCGGGTCACACGCATGTGCACGAGCATGTTTCGGTTTTAGTCTCTCCAGGCAATTTTTTAAAATTAAAACGCCCGATATGTATTTTTTTCAGAGCAACTGATCATTCAAAACCAATACAAAAACCGCTGGTCTTTGGCAGATCTAGTAAAATGTATCAAAGCGGTGCATTTTACTAGAAAATAAGTTATTTGCATGCAATAATTGTTTTGGTTGATGATTTAGATTCCCGAAGCGTGCATTTTGCTCGAATGGACGTTATGATGTGGTGTTGCGGAAGGAAGCACTGCTAGTTTGTTAAAGGAAAACTGACAGGTATTTGGGCAACTTATAGTCGCTAGATCAGTCTTCTCCAACGTGGTGCCCTCCAAATAAATTGGTGCCATTTGGAGGCACCTTGTTGGGGAGGGCTGATCTAGACTGTTCCTGGTGCAAAGCTTAGGTAGGACAGAGCTCTCTCGGTCAGGTGCATGATGCCATTTTCTCAATACCCCGAGAGGAGAGCCTTCTCAACATGAAGTCAACAAGCCAAGCAGTGCAGAGTGGACTTCCAGTTCTCTGCAGATTACAAATGAAAAGGAGAGGTATTTAAAAAATAAATGCTTCAGAGCAAGGGGGTATATCCCACCCCTTTTTAGATAGTGACATGCACCAATTAATTTGCTTTACCAAATCATTACAGGTTGCAAATGGGTATAATTAGCTCTTTTGCTCTTTTCTGTCAATATACTTTGCATGCCTTGTTCTTCCATTGCTGGGACTTTGATCTCACTTTGTATTCATAATACCCCTCCCACCCCTTATCTCTGTACCATGTGTGTATAGGCATGTGTACAAAATTATATTCCAGCAGAAGTTATCAAAGTGAATGCCAAGAAAGCTATGCCACCCACAATAAACAGCACATGTTGCATTTATCTTATGGTAGGACAATTGCTCAAGATCAGCATTTGTTAAGAGCTCCAATCCCCAGCTCCAATACTAGATAGCAAAATTTATATAAAGGGAGTACATGAAAAACAGTATTGAGACAGTGAGGGAGGAAAATTAATATTGGTGAATTAACAATATTCAAATGGAATATTGTTCCTTAAGGAAGGAGGATCTGCAACCCATCCTGGTGTGCAAGCAACCTTAAGAGAGAAACTGCGTAATCCAATCCATTTCATACATTTTTATTTTTGTTGTTGTTAAAACTGCACTTGTGTAAATACACTCAAGATATGACTCCCCTGGTTTGAATATCATCTGTGCATGAAACTTCAGTTTGATCATGGCTCCTATATATAATGGTGAAGTTTTTGTTTGGATGCTCCAAATTCTCCTCAGACATGGTAGGCTAAGCATTCACTCTGCTTCCTGAAGCTGATATCTGGGAAATAATTTTTATTTTATATACATAAAATTGTATACTATAGTGTGTGTGTGTGCATATGTGTGCGCGCGTGTGCGCGAATGTATAATTTGCATATATTCAAACCTTGAAAACTTCACCACTACCCACCATTAAAGATCCTACACTTAGGTTGCCTGATTTTCTCTATGAAGGTTAAAATGGGCATTTTTATTTTTTCAGTATTAATCACGTTTGCTTCTCTATCTCCTAGAACCTGCTTGAGCTGGTGGACAGTCGAAGGCCAGTGGGCAGTGAGGTGATTCAAGAGTCCTGTGGGCTGGGCCAGCCGAGAGGCAAAGATGGCTGAGCCATTCTGTCAACTGCTCATTGCTACAGCTCAGCGTCACCTGAACACAGGGAAGAAGAAAGGCTTCTCCCCTTTGTCTTCCCTGAACCTGGCTGGGGAAATACTGGCTGTAGCAGCTGGCTTGAAACCAGCTTTCCTGTATGATTACAATTCTGCAGGAATTTCTCAGATCTTGAGCTACATGCAACAGCTTCAGAAGATCAGCCAGCTTGAGTGCCGGCTACACATTTTGAGCATAGCTGAAAACATCCTGATAATCAACTTGGAAATACTGCTGCTATGGTTAGAGACAATCTTGCTTAAAAATAATATCCCCTTCATTGATGTTTCTGCTTCTAGAAAGTGCCCTTGCCTTTGTGATCCAAAAGATGTAAGTCTCATAAAAGGACATTTGTCTGAGATACTGAATCATATAAAAGTAGTAGCAGCAGACACAACACAGACACTTTCTTCCAGTGTGGTATTTTCTGCTGAATGGAATCTCTGCACTCTTTTTGGTGTTTTGCTAGGCTATCCAGCAGCCTATAGTTTTGCTGCTCAGAAGAGCTTTGATAATTGCCTTTCTTTAGCTCCACTGAGGGTGTTCACTGTCCAAGCCACATTTTGTAAGTTAAACAGTAATTTCAGAGTCCGATTTTATTCTTTCAGTATCCCGGAACTCTTGTATCCTGACATAAAAATGGACCTCGATATATGGTGTGAAAAACTCAAGGATGCCTTTAAAGCTCAGAAACATTTTGCAGATCTCTCTATCACAACTGAGATTGTTGTTCAGGCAGCAGTGGTCTTGTAAATGTAGGCCATGGTCCAGACACTCATGCAACTATTTCCTACTTTTTTTTTTTGGAAATTCTTCAGATACAAGCAATTTGGAAAGTATGCTTCCAGGAAGAAATGGGAAAACATACAGTGTTCTTAGAGTTGATCTTTGGCTATCTGTTCACCTCTAAGCTGTTTGCCTGTCTATATTAAGGCAAACTGTTTTAAAGTAGTAAATATGGCCACAGTTCTGAGTCCATCCTGCTTCTAGTCATGTCTAAGGGTGTAATCCTTTGTGTGTTTAGGAGGAAGGCCAGCATTTTCCAGCTCAGGAATGTGTGAGTCTTCTTTTTGTCTAAACGTGCATACGATCGCACAATAATTAATTGCAATAATATGTTTTTCACCCAGTTGCAATGAATCCAGCTGGTTTTCACCAGCCAGAATTAGCATCCATCCTGACTTTTAGGTGGTGAAGCAACACCTAACTGGATTGAGGGGATTTAAGATTGCTACAGCTGTAGGACTGATAGTTCTATCAGTTGATACAAACCTGTGTGGTATGTGGATACACCAGTTACACTACCTTTTGCAATGTAGCCTTTATTGATAATAAAAAATAGCCAAAAAAAAATGAAGTCAAGCAGTCAAACAAACTCCTTTAGCAGGTTATGCAGTTCAGAACCGTATAAGTGTATAAATAAACTGTATAAATGTAACTGTTTTACATTTTGTTCTGTTAAAAATGCACACCTTCTGTAGATAACTTAGAATGCAAAGTCAGTAATGTAAGCAAAACTGGACAGAAAGTATACTCAGGGTCTAAAGTTGACTAAGTAAGATACCAGAGCTGTTGCTATTATTACCATGAGGACAGGGATCCATTGATCATGTTGTCTCTGAAAGAAAGAGGAAATCTAATGAAATAAAAAATCTAATGGAGAGCTGCCACATTGTTTGCTAGAAACTCAAAATTCCTCCCCTGTTCAAATAGTTACATTAAGCTTTCACTTGGTACTTTATTACAAAGTATCCTAGATTTTTGTTTGACGATTTAATAAATACCAATGTTGAAAAATTTTTGAGAAGAATATTCCTTCCCCACTTTGCAAAGGCATACTAATTCATTAAAAGAGGGAGAGATCCATTTGCTTGGTCCAGAAAGTAAATATGTTTGGATCATAATCGTTTATAAATGTTAATATTTTTGGATCAACAATCATTTTCAGCACACAGTAGTTTGGAAGAATGAATTGCCTTATAATGTGGGTTATGTTTTATGATCATCTTTCTGAGTCACAAGATGGGTCTACTGCACATACAGTCCAAATTATACACACTTATACACCCTGAGGCATGATTGCGTATATGGAAAGGAAAATATTTGGAACCTCCCATGTTCCTCCAGTGCACATTTTACTGGAATGAGCTATCTTAATTTTTTCTGAGCTGCTTTTAAGAGTGGAACCTTAACTGCCTTAACCCATCAAAAGTGATCTTGAAAGCTGTGCTCTGCTATAGCCATCTCTGACCCTAGATTATTGTCATGCTTGCATTTTGAGCCTGTGCTGTAGTCTTAAAATATGAGATTATTTCTCCAATGTTCCACTCACATTTTGCCTTTTTTGTGCAATGGGATGAAATCTGATTTTTGTGCATATTTGCAGCAGTTACAGGATCAGCTCTGTGATACACAGGAATCACCAATAAGGAATAATTTTCTAAACAGGAAATTTTGTCCAATCCAAACTAGGATTAACGTGTTCCCAATTCAATGCTGTAGTTTCACACAGATAAAGTTTGGAAATGACTGCTTGCATGGAATGCAGCTAAACATTTCATAATTTGAACACAGTGCAGATAATGCATTCATTGCTTGTTGAATTCTAGACTTAAGTGTTTGTGACCCATTCTGTTGCTGTTTAATTGGCGTCCATTTTTATCATTAAGATTTTTTTAAATGCTTACCATTTTATTTAGCAGACTTGAAGTTTCCATCAGTGATGGAAGAGCAGGTATAATTATTTTAACAAATGCATTCAAGGGCTGTATGTCTTTATCCGAAGTGTCAGCTCTAGAAGAATTTGAAAGCATCCCATCGCTTAAAGAAATGGGGTTAGGGTGGAGAGGAAGCCCAACGCCAGGTGCCCTCTGCTAGGCAGGTGAGACTGATTGAGATAGCGCAACAGCTTTTTCAGTAGTGTGTCATGGAACTCACTGTCCCAAAGGATCACAAAAGCCCACGAGTAGATGTTTTTGTAAACCACTGAAAAGCCTTCACATTTGAACTAGAATTTAGTGAATTATTTTAATGTATGTGAAATAAGGAAATGCCAAGAAATAAATTCAGCTACTTGTTATTAGGTTATGAAACTTCAGTCCAAAACTCCAGCAATTTTTAAATTTCTTGATAAGCAGATACACAAGCATTTAGTTGTGTTTCTGATGGACTATAATGGTCTTTTCTATATCTCTGATTTTTACATGCTTAGGTTGGGTAGCACAAGCTAATTATACAATCCTGCTTTGTATCATGTGCGTGCAATTTCTTGCCCTGCATGGGACTGGGAGAGAGCGGTGTGATAGCTTTCCATATTAGGATATCATTATGGAGCAACAATAAATGGCCATCCAAGAAATAAATATCCCACCTGGACCTGTTTTTCCTGAGGCTGATTTAGCTCATCCCGACACTGCGGTAACCTGGTGAAGCAGCTGTGATACTTGTCACCCATGACCTGTAGGTCACAGTGGAGATCTGTGGTCTGGACAAGAAAGCATATCGTATAGAAAAATGATTTCCCCCACTTTTAAGTGAAGTTTGAAGGCAGCAGTCACCACTGGATTTAGTGTAGTTGTGATAAGTCAGAAAAACTTCTGTTTCAAATTATTTCTGGTTCCTAGAAATGGGGATACTATAAACAAAACAAGCTCTCATGACTTATTCTTTCTGTGAACCAACACAGACTTAATCAGCTTTTTCAGTTACTGATCATACCATTTTTTCTAGACCTTCCCCGCCCCCTCCGCACACATGCACAAAGGCCTACCAATCAATGACTAGAAACTGAATAAAAGTACAGTAGTAATTTTTGAGCATGTGAATGCAATTCAGCATGTTGTTCTCATGGAAAAGCTATTCAGGAATCTCTGGACAATAGTAATCTGCCAATGTGATGGGACACAGCTGGGTTTCAGCTTGTTTATCTGCTGCTCTCATATCCAGTTCAAGCATTAGTCTCAACAAAATCATAACACAGTTTCCAGTTAGCAAGGTTGCTCTCCTGGCATATATAAGTGCTGGCTCTACATATCAGTATATGCAAGCAAGCTTCACTGAAATCTATGAGACTTGAGCCTGATTCTTTAGTTTTCTTTGAGCAGTGAAAACACATGAGAACTAGCTACACATGAGAACTCGGCACTGGGTGAAAATGGAGTGCTGACCTGGCAGAGCAATGAGGGAGACCACGGTCAATTTCGCTAGCAGGCTCTGCACAAGTCAGTCTTGTCTCAGTTTTTATTCCCTGTTTTAACAATGAAATTAATAAGTGATCCATGTATGCAGTCTATAGCCTTTCCAAACCCTCTGCCGATGTTGCCAGTGCAGGAAAAGTAAGCGTGAATGTACTTACTGTTTGAACATTAGACAATCTGTCATCTGTTAAATACTGAAATTATGCACACAGAAGACTGCCAGACTTAAGCACCATCTAGAGTTTTACTATCTGCATGGAGAGGCATGTGTAGAAAGAGCCTAATCTTACGACTTGCTTAGGTCACTGCCTCACCTCTTTTTCCTTAGCTGTAAATGGGGTTATCCTCGTCTGTGCCTGATCATCCAGAGTGCTTCCTCTGCCCACCTCATGATCCTCTGGCTGGGAATTCTGTATGGCTCTGGCTGAGCTGAGGACTTGATTCTCCGTTGTGACTCTGCTTGGCTCT